GAGAGCGGGCCCTTAGGCTGGAGGCATGTCTGAGAGAGCAGCACTACGTGACGAAGACCCCCAGGGCCCAAGGACTTCTGGCTTCTGTTGCTGGAGCACCCTTGAAAGTCCTTGTTTGGGGAGATGGAGGCTCCTGAAGTAGGACTGGGGTCAAGTGCCAGCCACAGGCATGCATGTATTAGCTGTGTGGTCCTGGGTGGGTCCTTTCCCCTCTCTGCACCTCATTGCCTTCACATATAAAACAAGGCCAATGCTATTGACCTCGGAGGTTGCTGAGAGACGTAAAGGCGCTCGCTGTAAACGTTCCCAGTACATTTTAAGGCTTAAGAAGAACGGTTCATATTTTAACCTATTCCAGCAGCTGTCCCCTGTCCAAGCCAGGCCCTATGCTGGAAGCTGGGGACGAGAAGGTGACTTGGGCCTGGGAGCTCAGGTAGGCACTCTCAAGTTTAGGGGATGATCTCACTGGTAAGGGGAGAGGTGAGGGTGAGGGTGTCAGTGTGGTTCAGGGCAGAATCCTCGCCTCCCATGGGTTCGATTCCTGGCTGGTGCACCTCATGGACAGCCACTACCACCACCCAGTGGAGGCTTTCATGTCACTGTGATGCTGACCACCTGACAGCAGAGTGTCCAGATGAAGGCAGACTAGGAAGAAAGGTCTGGCCACCTGAAAATCAGCCAAGGAAAATGCGCTGAACCACAATGGCACCAGGCAGCTTTTAGTGCTGTTGGGTATAAGGCCAGGGCCATGGGCTGGGGGCTCCCTGGGGAACAACTAACAACGACAGCAACACAGGCAAGTGGGTGCAGGGTCTCACTGCTTCTTAGGGTGAGGCTTGACTAAGGACCCTGACCATCACCTTGAGCTACACAACTCCTCAAGAGACAGGCTCAGCGGTGACCCCAGGGGAGCATGCCATTGCCGTCGGGTGAATTCTGGAGGGGTGAGGGGGTGAGGACCTATCAGAGGCACACTGGCCCAATTTGGTACTTTGTGACTTCAGGCCATTTCCCCAAAATAAAACAAGCCACACATGGTAGGAGATCTGACGCCTCCAAAGCCGTCTAATCTGTCACCACTGCTCTTCTCCAAACAACAGTTTCGGCAAGTGGCGGGTCAGGGGACAAATGCACGCATGGGGGTGGGAGGGGCACCCTTAAGGGAACAACCTGCTTGTCGAACACGACCTGCTTGGCTCACTGGTGAGGAATGTCCAAGGAGAGCGCAGAGCAGGGCCTGGAAGGGCCTCCTGGAGGAGATGCTACTCAGGCCAGGAAGAAACTAGACCTTCCCAGACAGCTGGACCCGGGGGGACAACCCAGAGGAAGCCAGGCACCCGAGACTGAAATGCAGCTGGGAGGCCACACATGCCTCTCCCACCAGCCCCCACCCCCACCCCACCCCGCCCCCAGCCCCCTCAGCCACACTCACTCCTCATTCCAGGCCCACCTGCAGCTGCCTCCCAGCCCCCGCAGACACCATATGAGAACATCCTAGCCCCTTTGCAGAGCTATTTGCAGAGGCCTGTGTGTGTGTGTGTGTATGGGGGGTGGAGGGAGAGGGTGTCCAGGGCTTTACACACAAGTGTTTGATTTTACAAAGAGGAAGAGAAGCCACAGCAGGTGTGACCACTTCCACCCCAACTCCACCTACCGTCTGAGAGCTCCCAGGGAGGGGTGTTTGTGCTACGTGAACGTGTGCCCAGGAGAGCATCTTCCCACATCTGCTGCCCTGTGACAAGGGCTCTAGAAGTTCCACAATGACGCCATCTCCCTGGGACAGCTGACCCCTCTGTTGACAGGGCCTTCAGATAAACTACCAGGCTAACCAGGCACAGGGAATTTCTGCAGCAATGCAAACAGTTACTGTCTCAGCAGCTAACTGATAGGTCAGCAGTTCGTGTCCACCCAGAGGGGCCTTGGAAGAAAGGCCTGGCAATTTCTTGAACGACCAGCCACTAACAACCCTGTTCTCCTCTGACCCACAGGGGTCAGCCACGCGTCAGAGTATGGCACCTGGTTTGCGTGATGGAGGGCAGGTTCCCCACAGCCCTGGGTCCCATGGGCCCACACGCCTGAGGCTGGCAGAGCTGGAAGAAGAGCTGGTGGCCAAAGGCAGGAGGAGTCAAGAAAGCCCGGGACCCCTGGATGTTACGGGACAGGTCTTTTCTCTGTAGCCTCTTGGAACCCCCAGGCTCTCGGAGGGGAGGGACTCTTCATTTTAGCACCCACAATCTGCTTTGCTCGAACGTCTCTCTTTCATGACCCGTCTCAGGGCTTCCTTCTTGGACGTCTCCTGACAGAGAGGACATGGTCCCCCTCATCCATCCCCTGTAGGTGTGTACTCCTGGAGGGTACGTCTGTGTCTGGTTCAGCCAGCGCTGCACTGGGCCCACAGCCTGGCACGTGGTGAAGGCTAGCCAATGCTTGACACATACTTCAAGTACTTTATTACTCAGCCACTTGGCATGGGATTTCAACAGCCCGAGTCTCAGCTGCCTACCTTACAGGGGGCAAATGGGAAGGGGTGCGTGAATGATTGTCCTCAACCCTACAGTGCAGTGTGGATGTGGGGCATTTCCACAGACTCCGGGTCTCTGGAGAGCAGGCTACCCCCACCTGGAGGCAGGGAGGTGCCTCCTTGTCTCTTCTTGCTGCTGAGTGGGGCCCTGACTCAGGGCCACTCCGTGTACCATGGACAAGCTATTGTGATCCATGAGGTCGACACTGGCTGAGTTGTGAGAGACTGCCGGGCTGTCCTTCCTTCCTTCCTTGCCAGGCTGTTCTTACTCATCTTTTCCATCGGGCCTCCCCTGAAATTTGTTCAGCATCGTGCAAACCTGACAGATGGTGGCTACACATGAGGCGCACTGGTCAGGAATTGAACATAGGGCTCCCACACAGAAGAGTGCTGTTCTTGGTGGGGGCTGGGCTAAGGTGGGCCTTGGGTAGCACCACTCACTCACAAAGTCCCTGATTTAGGGGCCACAGGGCCCTGTGCATCTCCCTCCAAAGTGGTGTGCCAACTTTCCTACATACCAGCAGCGTGCCTGAGTGCCCATGCCCGTGTTTCTGGTTCCTGCCAGCTGGAGAGGCTGGAACTGGGGGTATCTTGTTTTGAATCTCCTTCCTCCCTTTGCTGGTGACCTGGGGCATCTCTGCACTGCCCGTGAGCTTTCTCCTCTTCTGCCCATGGTTGGGCCCTTTGCTCTCTTTTCTAGAAAACTGCTTAACCTTTTTGGGTGGATTTATTTATAGGCGTTCTTTGTGCCTAAACTCAGACGTTCGTTCCTTTCTGATTGCCTGGCAGGTGTCTCTGTGCCCAATCCCTGCTGGACAGCTTACGTTTCTCATCATCGTCTGTCAAAAGGAAGCCTCTGTGCTCAAATGGACCGTACATTGGCTCATAAACAAGCACTTCACTAGGGACACCCTTTGCGCCCACAGGGCCATCCACGTGCATAAGGAGATGCCCTTTCTTGGTCTCCTGAACCCTCCAGGCTCTGTGAGGTGGGCAGCGTAGGGATGATCACCCCTACGCCATAGGTTAGAAATGGAAGCCTTGTCCTGGCATCTGACCTCTGCCCTTCCAGCACCCTCTCCTCCCTCTTCTAGTGACTGCCCCTGCCCCTCACAATCTTTATCCATGTGGACTGGGTAGGGCTGGTTCTTGAAGGGGCATAAGACTTAGGCCTCCCAGCCACATGGAGCACTCCATGCTCCTGACCGCAGAGAACCTGGGGCTGACCAGAGCCACGAGAGCATTACCCAGGCCTCAGCCTGGAATTAAACAGGTGCCTTCTACCAGCGAGTTCTATCTGAGAATGAAAGAGCCAGAACTACCCCTGACAACCTCCCTGCCTGGGTCCAACCAAACTGGGGCTTGTTGGGTAGTGTTGAACAGACTCCAAATGACAGGGGCCATCCGGGACAGCATAGGACCGGCCGTAGGGTTTTGTAGGTTGTAACCTTATTTCCTGAAGCAGACGGTTGGGTTTTCTCTCCCATGGACTGTTGACCTTTTAGGATTAAAGCGCTGTATACCACCAGGGCCCCTGGCCGGAGGCCTGCCTCCGCCTTAAGCAGCTCCTGCGGGCTGTGGGTCTCTCTTGTACCAGAACCCTGCCCAAAGGCCTACCTAATCACATTGGGAAAGAAAGACCCTTGACCCTGACCATGACCAACAGTATGAACAGGTGCAGAGAGACAAAGCCCCATCCACCCACCAGCGGGTCTTGGTCTCCAAGGGCGTGAGGAGCCCACTACCCTGGCTCACCGCCTGGCCCACGAGGGAGAGCACTCTGACCCAAGGGTGTTCAGAAGGGGAGGCCAGAAGGGGTTAGAGTAGTGGTTCTCAACCTTCCTAATGCCGCCACCCTTTCATCCAGTTCCTCATGTGGTGGTGCCCCCCCAACCATAACATTATTTTCGTTGCTGCTTCATCACTGTCATTTTGCTGCTGTGATGAATCGGGTGACCCCTGTGAAAGGGTTGTTTGACCCCCAAAGGGGTCGTGACCCACAGGTTGAGAACCACCGGGTTGGACGGATAGAACCGCACCACGTAAAAGAAAGCGGACATCGGCTGGAGCTGCGCGGGACAAGCAGGCTCCGGAGAGAGCACTCTCAGAGAATGAAAGGAACAAGCCGGGCGGAAAGGAAGGAAGGAAGCCAGCACCACGAGAGAGCAGGCAGACGACAAAGTCCCTGACAATACGGCAGCTATGAATGGAAATTAGATATAGGAAAGACGAGGAAGAAGAGTTAAGTGTTGATACAGAAAAGGCGAAACCCTGGCTAAGGACAATTTCTATCCAGATAAAAAAGAGTGCGCGTGTCCGATGGTCCCTGGCAGCGCCCCGCTGACGGTGGGATGACCTGGCCTGCACATGGAGGGCATCCCTGAGTCATCGGTGGGGAAGTGGCTGCTAAGTTTCTGAGCAGCCCCGGGCCCTGGGAGCCCCGCCCCGGCCCCGGCTGGCCTGGCCGCGCCGCCCTCACCGTGGTGATGAATCGGTACAGAGGCTGCCGTCTCTCCGTGTACTTGACGGTGATGGGGCTGAGGTCATAGCGGAACCAGATGGCAGGGATGATGCGGCCCGTGTGGCTGTAGGCCACGTACTCCTGGGGTGGGGGGAGGGGGGGGGGGGAGGGGGGGGGGGGGGGGGGGGGGGGAGGGGAGGAGACAAGAGGGGTGTGAGAATCAGAGGGGCACCCTGTCTCACGGGGAGGGGGTGTGGCAGACTACAAGGCTCCCCCTGGGGCTTTTTCCCTCTGCTGCGGTGGGGGTAGACCCTCATCAGTACAGCTTCTCAGCTCTGCCCTCTGAACAGGCAACACCAGCAGGATATTTATTTCTGACCCCCACTGCCTGGAAACTGACCCTAAAAGCTAGGAGCAGCCCCCATTGGAGTGAGGACATTTCCTTCTTTCTATCCCCTGTAACTCCCCTCTCACGGCCGGCTGGGAGTGGATGCCGACTCACAGAGACCCTGCAGGGCAGCAGGAACTGCCCCTGTGGGTGTCAGACTGTAACTCTTCTTTCTCCCGCAGAGCAACTAGTGCCCTTGAACTGCTGACCTCGGGGTTAGCAGTTCAATGCAACCACTCCATCAGCAGAGCTCCGAGGCCATCCAAACTTCAGTCATTCATTCAGCACCTGATCACAGGGGCCTTTCCTGTGCTGGCCCTGTGGTGGCTGCCGGGGGCCTGGCAGGGGAGCATGCCTGGGCCTCCCGTGGCAGGGGTGACTGGGTGGAGGAGGCAGCAAACACAACTTGGCAAGAGTCTACATGCGGAGACAAAAAGGGGCCTGAAACAAAGCCCGCCTCTCCTCAGCAGTGGGTAGCAGACTCTCCAAGGAGGGCCATTCTGAGCTACGCCTGACAGACAGGCATGGGTGTGTGCATGAGCACATGCACACGTGTGTCAGATACGTCTTAAAAACACAACCCCCCAAAAGCAGAACCGGAGAGCCAGAGGGCACAGCGCTCCCACCACCCTGTGACACTGGAGCAAGTCACATAAGCCCTCTGAGCCTCAGTTGGCCCAGTGTGCACTGAGAGGATGCCACGCCAGGAAGCTGGATTTAGTGCGCCTTGGGCCAGTCCCCCCGCCCCCCCCAGGACCATGGTTTGAGGACCCACAGACCCTCTGTCTGCAATGCGAACTCCTCTGGGCTGTTCTCCCTGGACCAGCTGGACCAGCGAGCTGCCCCATCCCCCTGTGCTGATGACTTGGAGAGCTGACCGTCGGCTGGAGTGGCGTCGGCCTGACGTGTGCAGTTACACCCTAGTGAAGGATGGGGCCAGAGGCACGGAGGAAGCTGAGCAAGCGGTTCTGGCCAGAGCTCTTGCCAGAGCTGTGGGGAAGGAGCCTTGGGCAAAGAAGATCAGCTTTCTCCAGGGATCGCTGATGGGGCAGGCCGACTGCCTGGGTGACAGCCCAGGGCTTAAGGACAGAGACAAGTAAGGAGAAACAGCAGCCGTGGGTACCAGTCAGTTTGAAAACAGTGCCTTGTTTGACTACAGTTTTATGAGGTGGGTCAGATTCCCATCTACGAATAAGTAAACTGAGGCCCAGGGTGGTTATGTGACTTGTCCCATGTGGCGCAGAGCCCATCTCCTTCCTGCTTACCCACCAGTCACTGTCTCCCAGCCACCACATGCTGGCAGCCCTGGAGGCTGCAACAGACAGTGAATAAGATAGGGGACGCTCCCCTGGAGAGTCACATGGGACATCAACCTAAGTGGCTCCCAGGAGAGGGGTGCAAGACCCCAAGGAGAGTGGTCCCCACGCTGGCCAACTCAATGGCCTCTTGCTCAGAATGAGCAGGTGAGAATGATCGAGCATCTGTGAACTGTCAACCCAACCCACTGCCACCCAGCCGGTTCCAACTCAGAACTCAGTCTCACTGCCCTTGAGTCCATGCTGACTCCTGGCACCGGCACAGGACAGGGCAGAACTGCCCCGTAGGTTTCCGAGATTGGAACTCTACATCTTTCTCCCACCATAACTCACAGTAGAGAGTTAAAAATAGAGTCTAGGCTCTGGAGTTCCCCCAAATGGTTTTCAATCCCCACTGGCTACTTTATAGCTCTACATCTGCCTCTGTGCCTTGGTGGCCTAGTCTGTAAAATGAGGAGAGTACAGCCTCCATCCATCTGAGGTTTGGCCCCACCATTCAAAACGATGCTGGAGAAAGAGCTTAACCTAAGGGCTAGCCTGTAGGAAGGACTCAATAAACGATGGGTCTTCCTCTTGCTTTCTAATTAACTGAGCAAAATAATGAGTCCTGAGGCAGAAGAAAAGGAGAGTTCTGGTGACAGTGGTGGGGAGTATCATCTGTCAGGGGCAGCGTATCTTCCAGATGTCAGACTCTGTGGGGCTACCCCATTCCACTGGCTCTGGGCATACGCTGCTGCCCAGGGGGCGCTGCTGGGTGGGGCTCCTGGGTATTCCCGTTAATAGCCATGCAATTGAAGGCCACCCAGGTGGGATGGTGGGATTCCCAGGCCCTCGGAGTTTCTATAAAGTGCTTGCACCTGAGTGCTGGGGAAGCTCCAAGGGACTTGAAACAGGTTCCAAGCGTGGGGGACGGAGACCAGGTGCAGGGTGTGGAGACACAACTCCTGGATCCTTGGGATCCTTCCTGTCTCTCGGTTAGATTTCCCCCCACCCGCACCTCTGACTCTGAAACCACTTGAGAGCAGGAGGCTGGGCCTTCCATCTTTCCCCAAGGGCAGCCTGGCCACAGCAGCCAGGGGAGGAAATGCAGTTAGCCACTTGTCACCCTGCTCTCTGCCAGCAGAGGGCGTGCTCGCACACGGCTGGGCCCACCCACGGCCCCACATACCTTGTTGGCCACTGTGTACTGGTAAGAGTACCACTGCTTGCTGCTCTTGTCCTCGTACACCGTGGGCACGATCTTCAGGATGTAGTCGTGGGAGGCGAGGGCTGTGGGAAGACCGTGCAAGATGAAGGTGGGGTGCTTTCTGGGGACCCCCTCTCCACTTTTCACATGTTCTCTCCTCAGGTATTGGGTATGGTGACCGTCTGTGAGCCCATTAAGGAATGGGTGCTGAGAGAAGACAGCCCCGTCACAGCACAGGGCAGAAAACAAGTTTTCCTTGTACCAGGGGCAAGGGGAGACTCCTCATAAAATATCAAGAAAGACACCCAAGAAGCTATTCACAGTGAGCCTCTAGGGAGGAGAGCAGGCTTTGAGGATGGTTACTTTTAATTCTGCATCCTCTGGAGTTGTTGGGAAAAATTTTTTTTTTTTACTTTGCAAACAAACTATAAGTTTTCACAGCAATGAGTCAACCTACCAGAAAACCTGCATCTACAAATAGCTAATGTCTTTCCCCATTTTTCATTCTCCCTCCATTGTCTACTAACTACTGCTGTGAAATGGGTTCCAACGCGGAGACCCCACAGGGCAGGGTAGAACGGCCCCTGTGGCTTTCAGACTGTACATGTTGACAGCAGCACACTGCCACCTCTCTCTCTCCCATGGAGGGACTGGGGGGTTCAAACTGCTGAGCTTCTGGTGAGCAGTCAAAGGCTTCCCTCCACTGCCCCAAACCAAACTCACTGCCACTGAATCAATGCTGACTCAGTGACCCTATAGGCAGCGTAGAAGTGGATTTCTGAGACTGTAACTCTTTCAGGGAGTAGAAAGTCTCCTCCTTTGAACTGCTGACTTTGTCGTTAGCAGCCCAACGCGTAACCACGTAACCATGACGCACCTAGCCTCCTTCCTGTCACCATCTATTGTAACTCTTACTTCCTCCCCCACCCCCACTGGCGCTTGGAGGCTACCAAGGGTTCATCTCTGTGGTCCCCAGAGCCCCACACGGAGCCTGGTACGGAATGGATAGCGGCAGATGCTTATTGAATGAATGGACGGATGGGAGGATGAGTGGACAGAGGCATGAATGGGGGATGAATCAGCTTCTGATAAGCATGAAGTCACTGGCGTCAAACACTAGGCTGATAGAATGCTGGCTGGTAGCTGCTGATATCACCCAGGGCCACTGGGAATGCTCGTGCGCCTTCTGGGATACTAGAAGCAGCTTAAGCACCCCTCCACCCTGCTTTCTAAACCCTGTCTGGAGACCAGGGAGCTAAAGGCAGCAGAGGTTGAAGCCCATGGGCTCTTGTCTGACTGTCATAGCCGAGCCAGCTGGGTCCTTGGACCCCTCTCCTGTGAGGCCAGGAACGTGGTGGACACCCACGACCGAAGGCTCGCGCCTTCCTGCTCACGATACTGTACCAGGGAACAGGCCAGGGCTTTGGGGAGCTTTGAGCACCCGGAGCCACAGTGAGTCCACAAAGACCCCAATACTCCTCCGCTCCGCCTGAGGTCAGGAGGCCAGAATCTCACAGATGCCGCCACTTCACCTGAAGAGTCCTGCTCACATCCCACTGAAACCAGGAGCCCAGAGTGCCCCAAATGCCATGGCTCCAGGCTGAATAGACTGGGGGGTGGGGGTGGGGTGGAAGCAGGGTGGGGATTGAAGTGAGTGGCTTCTAGCTTATCGATTGAAAAGTGTGGTTAGTGTTCTTATGTCCAAACAGCTGGATGCTCATGTTGACATGGGGTCATTCTGTGCTGTCTTCTAAGGACTGAGCGTGCCACGGATACCTTTGGGGTCAAAGCCAGAAAGTGAGCTCCTCAAACAGCGCTGGGTCTCAGCATGCCGCACGCAGTAGGTGCTTCGTATGTGTGTCCTGCCTGGTTCAGCGCTGGGACAGGTGGCAGCTGCAGCCCCCCGCCCCAGGTGGCCATGCGCAATGTGGACTCTGCTTGGGCTTGGATGTCCACTCCCGTCAATGCTGACTTAATGAATCGGATTTTCCTTAACTGCACACTCAGTTCACTCCTCCACTTACTCTCTGAGGACTTTAAGACCTCATCCTTAAGGCCTATAACCGAATTCAATAAAACTTGCTAGTGGCCACGAGCAACACAGCCCCTGTGGACCCTGTGTGGGTACCTCGTGAGCTGGCCTCTCCTGGTGGCCTTGGATCCAGCCTGATGCAGGCAGGTCTCCTGTTTGACGAGGCTGACTTTCAGACACATGTCAAACAGTGGACCGGAGAGCAAGCCCCAGCTTCATCCGTGACAACACGTGGCATGCCCACTTTCATCTCCGCCTCCCCTTGCCGCCCCTTGTTACTTTAGAGCAGACGCCAGACAGCTCATTGACCCGCCATGTGCACTGTAGTATGCTTCCCTACAAGGTCAGAATGCTTACGTGAAAAAAAGCCATTGTCATGGTCATAGCTTCAACCACAAAATTAGCCGTCAGTCCTTAACAGCCTTAACTACTGAGACAAGTGTCAAATTCCCACTTCTTTATGTCATATGTATGTGTGTGCATGGCTATAGACGCCCACATATATGAGGGGGTACCCCAAAAAACCATGGTCATTTATTTTTCTG